GTTCTGTGATTCAGTGGTCGTCTTCAAGAGTACGTCTGCTGTTGCTGGCCTTGGATAGACACATTGGTGATGGCTGCTGGTAGAGGAGGATCTGGGTGATGATAATGTGCTAGATCTAATCACTAGGTCCCTAAATCGAACAAGCATCAAATGAGGGTTCTGTAGGTGGTAGGATGAGGTTGTGCTCAGGCCCCACTGCGTGAGCAGGCCTGAAGTAAGCCAGCAGCTGGCTTGTGTGGCCTGTCTGGACATGGGTGATGTTCACAGTTGCAGTAGGAAGGTACTTAGGGTGACATGCAGTTCCCTACATGGACATCTCTTTCTTTGAGAAAACATAAGAAAATCTCCAGCCCTGAAAGTTCATACACGTGCTTTCTAGTGGCAGTGGCTGTTCTCAAGTCCTGTGTTTTATCATAGCTGTGTCTTCTGAGCTGGTTGTTTGGAAGGATCCTTTCTCTTCCAGCTCGGGAGAGGGTTGCATGTATGAAATAAACAACTGGGTTTGGTGTATTTTTTTTAATTTTTTTAAATTTTTTTTTCCCCTACTTAGGTGTGAAACTTCTGTTGCATGGTCTTTGCTCCAACACCACAGTCAAATTTTTGGATTTGAAGGTGAGTCTGTTTGAATAAAATTAAGGCAAACAACTGGGGAAGAAAGTAGATGTAAAACTTGGAGTAAAATATAGACAGTCCTGGTGCAGGACTGGTCTGCAAGATGTGTGTTACTCTAAAGTTCTTGTTCTCAGGTGACCCTTAGCACTGTGTCACAGCTTTCCAAAGTCACTTTGCAGCTCATCTGTGTCTGTTTTTATTCCATTACTCTGTTTTGTCAGGAAGCTATTGCTGTGTATCTTTTGTCAGTTGCTGCTTAGTCAGGTGAGGCATTTGTAGGATTTTCTTTGGCTTTCTATGTTAATTGGTGAGTTATTCATTGTTTGACTTGTGCTTCCATAGAGTTTATCTAGCTTGCCAGTGTCTTTCAGCTAGCCTGGGACTTGGAACTAAACCTCCACTTTTTGAGTGTGATGATCACTTTGCTGTGAGGATGTCTTTCAGTCTGTATTCCTCTGGAACATGGTGTTTCCCATGTATTTACAGCTCTAAACAGTATCATACCTTTCCTTCTGCGCTGATGTTAGCTGAGCCCTTCTTGATGAAGTGTGTTGAAATGGTCCTGCTTATCTAGAGTCTGCATTCTCCATCCCATGGTGGGTCGTGCTCACCCTGTGGTTCTTGTGAGCTCCTCAGAAGACTAAAGGTTATGTGTCCACCGCTCCTCCTGGGGTCTTTAATTTAGCAGAAAGCTCACTGGTACCTCAAGTAAATGTTGCTCAGATGCCTCTTTGACTGAGTGAAATCGACGTTGCAGCTGGGGCACATCTGGTGGTGGTGGTTGGAATAGTGTGACTGCAACAGGGTGGAGCCAACTGATGACCTGGGATTTCTGTTCCAGGGAAACAGCCTGCGAGCCATGGGAGCCGAGGCTTTGGGAAGACTTCTTAGGCAGAACAAATCCATCAGGAGGTAAAAAAATTGTATTTACCTCTCTTTCTGTTAATCCTGCCAGACAGAGGATGGCATTAAAAGAAGGCTGAAGGTGTTTGTTAGGGCAGGAGGAATGTCAAGTGCTGCACTCTGTTGTAAGGGAGGGGACAGGTGGAGGAGTGGGAACTGGAGGTGCTGTTTCAGGGAATGGAGGGCTCTCTCAGCACCCTGCTCCCTGGGTCTGTCAGTGCAGCTGGGTGTTTGCATGGGCACTGTGAGCCGGGTGCCGTTCGGGCTCTGCAACTGTCCGTTTACTTCATGAACTCTGGTCTTCCCTGATTTTCTCCAGCCTAATCTTGGAATGGAACGACCTTGGTGTGTGGGAGGAGAGCTTCTCCTTCTTTTGCCAAGGACTGGGGGCAAACGAGACTCTGCAGCGGCTGGACCTGCGCAATAACCAGATCAACCACCAAGGGGCTGGGGAGCTGGCTGCAGCACTGAGACACAACGCCAGCCTGCAGGAGCTGGGTGAGTGACTGGTCCTCTGCCACCTGCACACACGCAGACACACACACGTCTTCAGGTTTGTTGCAGCCTGTCCTGATCTCTGTCCTGACGACAGCTGGTCGGTGTCCTTCCCAGTTCCTGTCAGTCTGGCGTGCCCCATGCCAGACTCTGAGGCTGACTTCACGCCTGCTTTGTCTTTAGTAAGGGATTTTGCCAGAATTGCCTTCAGGAAAATGTGGGTCTTGGTGCCAGTTCTTATCCACAGGTTGTGGAGGGAAGGCTCATGAGATGGACACGTGAAGGGCACACCTTTTGAACTTTAATGTTTTCCTGTGCTTTACTTCCTCCTGGCCTCTCCTGATTTGTCTGTCACTTTCCTTCCCTCTCCTTTGTCTTGGCCAGGGAGGTGGCACTCACCGGTGTTGGTGCTGAGAGCAGCTGGGGTTAGGTGGCTGTGCCTGTAGATGTGTAAGGAGTGTGGTTTCCTTTCAGCCCTGTTTTTCAGCAGACATGTGGAAGTTTGCTTTCTGTACAGATTTGCGTTGGAATAACATTGGGCTTCTGGGTGGACGAGCTTTGCTGAACTGTCTGCACAGCAACAAGACCCTGAAGAGGCTGGAGCTGGCTGGGAACAATGTTCCTAGTGACATCCTGAAAGCTGTGGGTACGTATTACTTGTTGACTAGGAAAGAAAGAATCAATAACCCCTTTCCCATTTCAGTACTTGAGGGATGTAGGGCACTTTCTGCTCCAGAGGAGAGCACTCCCTCCCATCCTCTCATTCTCAGCAGCATTTGCACAATACTCTGTGTTGCTGCCTCTTGTCTTTTAGTGAGGGCTGCTCAGGTTGGAGGGGTTGCTTTTACCAGCGAGAGGGGGGAAATATTTTGATTGAATTGGAGATTACTGTGCCATGTGAATGTGGGAGAACTTGGGGCTCTCGTTTGCCTCTGAGTAGCCAAGTTTGGATATGGCTAATGCAGTATGTCCTTCCCACCGTGGGGCTGAGTGGCTCTGCTCTGGGGGGGTGTTCATTACCCCCTCTGTGCTGCTCTGCTCGATTCTGCCCCACCTTGTGCCTCTGAGATGAGAGCAGTCTCTTTATGCTGGCCAGCCCGAGAAGGGCTCCTGTCCTGGTGCTTGTGGTAGCCAGGTGTCACCCCGAGTGCTGTCTCTTCCAGCAGTGCTGCTTGTTCTGTTGCTTTAGAAACTTGTGCATTCTCTCCTGCTTTCTCTGCATCAGAACAAGCCATGGATCACAACCAAGACCGTCAGAATATCCTGAGTGAGACCCAGAACCGAACCCACATACTCAGCAAGGAGGTTTTGAGTCTGAAGGGTGAGAAGACAAAGCAGGTCAGCAGTCTCACATGTTGGCAGTTAGATGTGGTAGCTGGAATCCTATGCTTTCCCTTGGTGTCCCATGAAACACTTAGTGACAGGATTATGGTGCACCTGGAGATGCATGGGCATCTTTATGGGCAGGCACACAACATGGTTTAGTGAATTGGGTCCTTCCTCTGAGCTAGGTAGCCCAGGTACCAAATTTGTGACAGTATGGGTGTGGACACATGCCCTGCTGATCATATTCACTCTGGATTTTGAAAGTGTTTTGGTGACTTTTTTTCACTCGTATTAATGCTTTTGGTTCTTCTGCTACTGGTTTGATATTTTCCAAGTGGTGAAAACTGAGAAACATGTGTCTGTTTTCCTTCTGACACTGAATGGTGCAGAGTCCCTAGCTGGTTACCTCAGTCAGAGGTACTGATGAGCCCACCAGACCTCCAGTTTGCTTGCTTTTGATAGAGTGGCTCGACCTGTCTTCAGCTGTCACAGGGAAAAGAAAGATGAGACACGTAAATGTTTCAAGCTGATGCAGTTTATTTTTTCACTGATGCTTGCCCTGTTCACAGTTCTTGGATTTGATGGACACTATAGACAAGCAGAGAGAAGAAATAGCCAGGAGTGGCAGGTGAGTTGAATTTCTGCATGCTTTCTGCTCTTTGATGGCAGAATTGGGCCCTCTCCCTTTCCTGGCAGAATTTACACACCATTTTTTTTTTTCACTCTTCTCCCCATGCTCCCCACCCCCCCACTGCAGGGTGTCTGCAGCAAGAGTGAGCCAGCTGCAGGAAGCACTGGATGAGCAGCACTCTATTATGAATTCACTGAAGGCCAAGTATGGAGGGGGAAAGACTTAGCCTTAGCCTTAGCCTTAGCCTTACCCTTAGCCTTACCCTTACCCTTAGCCTTCCTGCTGTCCTGTGCTGTCCAGGCAGAGCTGTTAAGAAGGGGGATAATCTTGTAGAGTGGCTGGCTTACTGTTTTGCTTAGTTCTGCATTAACATCCAGAAATTATGGGCAGCTCAGGCCTTTGGGTTTGCCATGCTAGGTATTTAGCCTGCTTTTAAGTAAAATTACAGTGTATTGGTGTAAGAGCAAGTGAATTACAGAGGGTAAGAAGGGGGATGGGATGGGGGCATGTTCCTCACACAGTTTACGGCCTGGCAAGTGTCTGTACCTGCTTCCCCTGGCAGTTGGCAGTAGCCTCTGAGAACCACTGCAGATGTGGAGGAGCTGGACCAGGAAGATTATTCCCAAGCATACAATGAGGTGGAGGTGCCCAGGAGCAGTGTTAGATTGTGTAGAGCCATGTGCACATGACAGTAGTTAGACTTCAAAGGCTGATGAGTCTGGCTTATTCAGCTCTTGTAGGTAGAGGTCGTTATGCCATGGCTCCATGTAGACACATCCCTCCATTTGCCTGCAGAGTAAGCAAATCACTTCTGCTAACAGTGTTTAATAATCTATCCCTAATTTTAAACAACCTTGCAGTGGTATAAAACTGTCAGCTTTGCTCTTCTGTGAGAGTGTGCAAATCTTGGAGGTGTCCAGACAGGAAAAACAGCTCATTGAAGGCAACTGAGGGAAAAATGCAAGGTGGCACCAGAGTGTCATGTTTTGAGAAGTCCCAGGTCACTCCCTGTTTGTAGGGACTGTTGGGTGCAGAGATATGTGCTGGCCTTTTCCCAGGGGAAAAAAGAATGCCCCATCTAGCTAGCCTGATATCATCCACTGCCAAACCTGTGTTAGCATCTTGTACTGTGTGGCGTAGAGAGCTCACTGGAGGGGCCTCCCTTAGAAAGGACTCTGGAAAGTGTTTCTCTGTATAGGCTGCAGATGGCTGAAGCTGCCCTGGCTCTTTCTGAGCAGAAGGTGCACAGTTTGGGAGAGCTGCTGAGTGCCACAAAGCAGGAACAAACCGATATGGCCGAGCGCCACTCCATGGAGCTCCAGCAGCAAAAGCAGGTGAGCTGGATAAGTCCTGGTCAGGCTGGAGAGCAGGGTTCTGGGTCATACCTGGTTTGTGTCCATGTGGAGACTGCTGGGTGGGATAGGCAAGAATGATTTTTGGTGGGTTAACCACAGCTGATATGAGAAAAACAGACAGGTGAGTAGTAGGTGTGGGGAGGAGCCATGGTGCTTATGTGCCAAGTTGGATGTAGTTGGGTGTGGTGTTGGCTGGAGTAGGTTGGCAGTGGAAGAGCTGAGGTGAGTATGGGTTCTTGGTTCTGACTGTATCTGCAGGAAGGTGCTGATCGGGAGGGCAAGCTGCTGTGTGACTTGTCTGCTGCCAGTGAGAAAAATTTGCTTCTAAGAAAGCAGGTAAGAAGGCAAGTCCAAGGCTGAAAAATGGGACTTGGGCATTGTCCACTTCTGCTCCGTGTGTATGTCCTCTGCTTTGATCCTCGTTTGTGTTTCTGCTGATTGTTCTGTGTAGCCAACTTTTTTCTGCTAATAGGAAAATCGTTTGTGGTGGTAATTTCCATGTAGGTGGATGAGTTGGAGAAGAAGTGCAAAGTTCAGCAGTATAATATATTCCAGCTAAAACAAGACTTGACCAACACAACAGCAGAGCTGAAGCTGCGGGCCGTGCAAGCTGAGGGTGAGTGGAGAGGCAGAAGCAGCTCGTGGTCACCTGTGGGCTGGGGTTACTCCCCGTGAGCTAGTGCTGCAAGGCAGCAAGGAGAAAGGGTGGCAGAGTCTGTGATGGAGCCTGAATACACCCTGTGTAGCAGGAGTGCCAGAACTGCAGTGTGCCTGCTTTTAATCTGCAGAGCGCCTGGAGTTGGAGAAGAGAAGATTTAAACAAAGCCTTGAAGACCTGGAATCCCTTCGGGTTAGAGAGGTGAGAATGGGATTTCTGCAGCATCCTGAGCTGGGGAGAGCACGGGCTGGAGTGGTGCAGGGCTCTGCAGAGGAGGCTCAGAGGCTGGCCCTTGTCGGCCTTGCTAGGCATAGAGGTAGTTACAGGCAAGCAGTCTTGTCATGCTGACTGAAATAAAGATGCTTTAACAAATGGAACTGAGGCACACGTGCTGTATACAACCAGTCCTTGCACAGGGCTCAGCTTTGCTACTTCCTTCTGTTATGTTTGGGGGGATTCTGTCCGAGAGTGGACAGGACAGGAGGCTATGACAGCTCTCTTTGGAGTGTTTATTGAGGTATGAAATCTCTCAAAACCAAAATTGTACCAACAGATTTCTCTGAAGATTTTGAAATCTTGTAAGAAAAGACATAGGCCAGGAAGCTTTTTAGCCACATTTCAACTAGAAAATGAATCTCTGGTGTTTCGTACCACTCGGAAATCAGAGCTTGGACTCTGCATCTTCTGTCTTGGCCTGGAAGGGATCTCTGTCTAAACTTTCCTGTTTCTAGAGGGCAGATTCTCTCTATATTACAGTTTCCTAGTGGAGATCTGAGGCAGGCAAGAGTTTTTCTTTGATGGCAGGTGGGTCAGTGAGAGGGTGCTCTTCTCCATGCCCAGTGGTCGTGCTGCTGTGCCTGGAGATGGTGCTGTGCTGGCTCTCCCTTCAGGGGTTTCTGCTGCTTTGCAGGTGGATCGTATGACACAACAGAGCGAGGCCAGTGAGCGTTCCATGCAGGACAGAATGCAGAGGCTGGAGGCCATCAGGACAGCTCTGGAGAAGGTGGGAATGGTTGCTCCAGGCTCATTGGAATGCTCTGACAGTGGTGGTAGAAGGCCACCAGGGGAGCGTGGTAGAGTCTTCCATTGCTGACCTAAGTAAAGATTATCATGTGCTGTAGGGAGGAACAGAAACCAGCAGTTTATAAGCTAAAATTATTTTCACTGCTTTGGACTAAGGGAGGAGAAGGTTCCAAGGAGAAACCTGTAGGTTCTGTTTGAACAGAAATAAAGATTAATTGAACATGTTTGGATCCTTACCAGGGTTTGACTTCACAGGTTTCCCATGGGATGCCAAGTAGTGTGGGTTATTTCTCCTTATCTGTTTCCCCCCAGCTAGATCCAGCACTGCCCTCTACTAGTCAGTCCCCTGTCTTTGGAAAGCTTCACCCATTACGTGCCTTCATATAATTGAAATTCTCACTGAATTTAGATATCAGTCTTAGGGTGAGAAAAGGTACCTAGTCTGGGTTTGTTTTCCCTGCCCCTGAGTGAGACAGGCAGCTGTGTCACATCGTAGCCTGTGACTGGAAGCTGCTGCTGTGTTCTGGCCAGTGCTGCAGTGATACAGCCTCTCTACCAGAAATGATTTTTCCTGAATCTGGCAGGAGCTGAGCCAAGTCAAAGCAGCTGCACTCACTGAACGAGTCCAGGCAGAGGAGGAGTTAATAAAAGCCCGGAATCAGGCACGGCTGGAGGAGGTAAGGACAAGATATGTCTGTGGGTCCTGCCTCTGGGCAGGAGTGGGTTTGGCTGCCTAGCCTGTGCTTTTGTCGTGGGGAACTGCTGTGTAACTCCCTGCTCTGGGTTTCACTGGCCTGCAAATAGTGTCATTTCTGAGGAGGGAGTCCTGAAAAGTCTACTCTGAATTGTCTTCAGAAGGGAACCACTATCCCCACTTGCTCTGTGCCTTCCAGTAGTAACAGAGTTGATGTGGATACTGTCATAGCAGATTTCATTTAAGTTGCCAGCTTTTGAGGCTCACAGCCAGATGTCAGTCCTTCTGTTTAACAGTAGTTTTCACAGGCTGCTCCTGTTTATCTGGACTCAGAGGAGTTTCCACAGGTGGCTACTGCTGCTGGATAAAAGAAGTCACTCTAGCATTGAACTTTGTGAAAACAGAAATGAAGTCAATACTTTGTGGAAGAGAACAAGGCATGAGGAAAATACACCAAAACTATTAGAGTGTTTACTTAATATCACAAAAGAAAATGCTTTACTGAGTCATAAACATGCAAAAGCTGCCACGTGTGTGTGGAGGGAGACGACAGCTGCTTAGCTGCACACAGCCATGTGTCTGAGCCATGTGGGTGAGGGAGGGAGCACATTGACTGCAAACACTGGCACTGGTGTGGGGTTAAGGTGCTCCTGCTAAGGACACGCCTCTGCCTCTCAGCTCGTCATCTGGGCATTGCAGCATCTTCAGAACGTTCTCCCTGGTAACAGGAAGCAGCTTAGGTTCCCTCCTGAGTGCAAGGGACAACTGCCGGACCTGTCGTGGCTGAGTCCTGCGCCTGTTCTTCACTGACAGCTGACTCAGCCAAGGGTTCACTGGATTGGGAAGGAAAAGGGGAGAATCCCTTCACAGGAATGGAATGGGACTGATGTGTTTTCATTTTCCTTTGTGTCTTCTTGCAGCAGCAGAGAATAGAACACCTGGAGGAAAAGCTGCGGCTGATGACCGAGTCACGGGATGAGGCTCGGAACTGCGGCCTTAGGCAAAGCCAGGTGGCTGCTGAGGCCCAGGCCAAGGCCAGCCAGCTGAGCATCCATGCTGAGGGGCTCAGGAGGCGCCTGGAGGAGCTTCAGCAGGTGATGCAGGCTGGAGGAGGGACACGGTCACCACAGAGGCAGAACAAGCTGCTGGCGTTTGGTTATTCATGCATTTGTCTTTTGTCTGTCAGGACCTGAATAGTAAGGAAGAGGAGAAAGTGACAGAGGTGAATAAAGTGAAAGTGGAATTACAGGAGCAGATTGGACACCTGCAAGCTGAACGCACAGCACAGGATGGGCTGAAAGAGAAGATTGCAGCCCTGGAGAGACAGCTGAAAGGTGAGGGATCCTTTCATGCTTCTCAAATGGTAATACCGAGTTACAGACCCTGCAGTGTGCCTGGAACTGAGCTACGCTTACAGGTAGTGACAACAGTGCTTCCTGCCTGTGCATACAGGCACGAGTTGTACCCTCCATCCTGATGGGGTTGTAGTGATTCTTGTCCTCGTTTGGTAGGGACCAAGACTCAGCTAACCACCCAAAGCTGCACAGCAAGCAAAATGTTTGGATTTCTTTCTGCACAGTGCAGTATAACATCTTGTCTGTGCAAAACCTCTCACATTGTCTCACGCAGCTTCTTTCACATGTGCCTGTTGATCATCCAGCTTCCATTGCCTTTGGCTGTGCTGTTAACGTGTTGTTGGCCTTTATTCTAGGGACACTAATTTCCTTTACTAATGCTGCTTTCCTTCTCAGCCCTGTCAAGTAGCCACCGTGAGGCACTGCTGGACAAAGAAAGTGAAATCTCTATGCTGCTGGAGAAGCTGAGAATGAAAGAGGCTGACATCTCCAGGATGAGGGAAGAAGAGGCCCAACGAGCAAGTTTCCTGCAGAATGCCATTATGACATATGTGCAGGGTTCCCCTTTGGGAAGTCACAGTTCTAGGAAATGAGAGTGTTGCTTAAGGAATTCAGATACTTGCTGTCAGGAAGAGGGTCAGCAGCTCAGGTACAGCCCCTGCGTTCTACATGGGACAGTTTTGTCAGAGTGGGGTGACACTGTGGGCTTCCAAACACAGAAAATTGCTCTTATGTAAAGGAGAGTTGATGACAGCCATCCAGGGCTGGAATTGAGGCGTATGGGTCCAGGTTCATGAGCTGGAGCCCTTCCCATGCACGGATGCAGCATCTGAAGTAGTTTCTGTGTCCTTGCATCCAGCAGCAGTCTGTCAGCACACCCTGCTGTTACTGGGGGCCTGTGTGCTCCCTGGGCAGTGGTCCGGCTGAAGCATTTGTTTGGATGCCAGGGCTGCCCACACCGAAACTTTAACAAATGACAGGCAGCAGTGTTTACAGTTCTTTGTAGGTGGGAGCCATCTACTTTGCTTGTGGGGCCCCGAAGCTGCTGGGAACACCAGATCTTGCCCAGTTGTGCTTTTATACCCAGTGCCTACAGATTGAAGCAGCAGCTGCCAGGGCTCACTTTGACTCTTTGACCCAGCTCCTCCATGGCTCTGGCCGTAGTGGTGGGTGGTGGATATGCATTCATTCTATACAGAATGCAGAGGGGGGCTGCTGTGCAGCAGCTGCCTATGTCCTTGTTGGACAGCTGGGCTTTGGCCATAGTTCGAGCCTCTACAACACTGGCTGGCATGGAAGGGGTGGGGTGGAGTGCTGGGCATCAGCATCTGTGCTTCCTCACTGGGAGCTGCAGCCCTTGGGCAGAGTTCTTGTGGCCAAATTGCAACAGGATTGCCTTCCACTATGACAAGTGGCAGAAGTGTCCTGCTGACTTCTCAGGATCCTGGAGCTGAGCGTTGTTTTCTGGGCCTCACCCTGGAGTGATGGGGGAGTGATGCTTCTGACTTGTCAGAGTTGCAGAGCACAAAGGGGAGAAGGTACTTCATTTTCCTGACAATGCAAGTCCTCGTGTGGCATGGAGAAGGGGAAGGGATGGTAAGGCCTGAGCTGGAGAAAGTACAGGCCTCTGTCAGAGCAGCAGTAGTAACAGAGCCTCCTGTTAGTTTCTCTGGTGAGTCTATGATGAGAGAAATGAGCTTGCAGTATGTATTTTAAGAGGCAAGTGGAAAAAGAAACTTTCTGTGTGGACTGGTTTGTGTTTTTTCATATTGGGTCTTGCTCTGCTTTTTTAATAAAGAGCATTTGCATTTTGCTGTAACGTTGGACGGTGACGAGGTGGATGTTTGGCTGATGTGGAGGAAGGGGCCTGCTGCTGTTACTCTCATGAAGGTCCTGCTCGTCTGTCCTGGACCTCTTATGGGTGCATAAACTAAGGATAGCTACAGATTTTGATTTTGGTTCTGAACTATGTTAAAAGCAAAGAAGCTGGGAACTTAGGCCCCAGTCACAGGGAGAGGACAGAGTCTGTGTTGACATCCTCAGTGGATGCTGGGCAGCTCTGGAGACCAGCAGGGCAGGGAAAAGCAAGCCCTGCCCTTCTCAAACGGTGCCACTACCCGTTATCTCTGTGCTTGGCAGAGTACGGGGAGAGGCAGAGGAATCCTAAAGCCATCTTTATGCGGGACTTTTGTTGCTGCATCTTTGTTCCTCAGCAGCTCCCAACAGGTGAAATCCGCCTCCAGTGCACCTGGCCTGTAAAGCTGCAGCCCTGAGCGAGCGGCCGCGCGCTGTGGGAACGGTCCCGGCCGCGGGTCCCTGCGCAGCGCCCGGCGGGCTGTTCCCAGGGGACAAGTAACTTGCCCCTCG